AGCTTTTCTAGCCTCACCTCTTACTCTGCTTTGTGCTTCTTACATGCTACACTCTAGGCTAGAGAGTAACTCAAAATACCGTCACTTCCTTGTTAAAATAATAACCTTCACGTAATGCTTACTGTGAACTGAGCATATAGCCACTGATTTATCAGGACAATAGTGAGATTAGTACTGTTGCTATCCCCATTTGACGATAAGGAAATGGAGGCACAGAAGTCAAGTGATTTACCCAAAGTACAAGGAAAGTAGTGGCAAGCCAGGATTTGAACCAAGAGTTCTGGCCTTGCAGTCCAGCCCCTGTTCTGTTCTTATCTTGCCTGCATACCTCCAGACTCTTCCCTCAGGCCCACCATTCACCACCATCCTTTTTATTTGGCTGATTCCTTTTTTTTTTTTTTTTTTTAGATGCAGTTTCGCTCTCGTTACCCAGGCTGGAGTGCAATGGCGTGATCTCGGCTCACCGCAACCTCCGCCTCCTGGGTTCAGGCAATTCTCCTGCCTCAGCCTTCCCAGTAGCTGGGATTACAGGCACGTGCCACCATGCCCAGCTAATTTTTTGTATTTTTTAGTAGAGATGGGGTTTCACCTTGTTGACCAGGATGGTCTCGATCTCTTGACCTTGTGATCCACCCGCCTCGGCCTCCCAAAGTGCTGGGATTACAGGCGGGAGCCACTGCGCCCGGCCTGGCTGATTCCTATAATTCCTTCCTGACTCAGGAAGGGATGTGTAAACATCCCTTCCTCAGCGTCAGACCTCCTTGCTCTGTCTCATATCTTCCCATCCTCCATATTATGACATTATTAAATATCTATCTCCTCTGCTACACTGTCAGTTCCATGAGGACAGGAAACATGTCTGCTCTATTCATAGCCACACCCTCACTTCTTAGTATACACCTGATAGATAGTAGGTGCTCATTAAGCATTTTTTGATTGAATATAAGAATGAATAATAACTAATCACATTGAAGAACTTCTGTTCTTCAACATGATATCATACCTGGCAGGAACATGGACTTGATAAATATTTATTTGATATTGTGTTCCAGAAATGGCAAGAAATCCAGTTTGACTAGTGCCAAGGGTGTGAAAAGAGATTTTGGCAAATGGTTCGAGTCTGTATTGTGAGCCAAAAGAGGAGGGAGTTATAGGATATCAGCAATATATAACTGAGGGGTTATCAGCAGTATATAATCTTGCAAAGGCAAATATTAACATTTCAAAATCCCTCCTTCCCAGCCCAAGACGGTTCTGAAGTTTTCTTTTAAACACACCATCCAACCGTGTTACAGCAGACTTCAGCAAAGTGTAATTGGTATGCTTACGGGACCTTGGCATAAGAGAATCACACACTTTGTTTGACCCAGGTGAAAACAAAGGCCTACTTGGGTGTATCTATATAACACAAACAGCTACCTCCTCCCTACTCAAAAAGGGTCTGATTACAAAAAAAAATCTAACCTCTATAAGCACAATGAAAGATTTCCTATTCCTATCTCCTTTGGAGAAAGTGCATTTATTATCCTCAAAAGGGTTCCTGGAACACTGGGTTAATCCCTTTAAAAAGATACATCTGGTTACCATAACTTCATTACAATTCTAGACTTGAATGCTACCAGGTATATTTTTTTCTTCCCCAAACTGAGTGGTGCCAGGGAGTCTAGAGACAGCAGTCAGCAAACCAGGTTCAAATCATTGTCTCTTTGAGGCTGTGTTTTGGCAGCCATAGCGACAACAGGCTCAGCCTTCAAGGAGGAGTAAACTTCTTATCACCCTTGAGTGACCCTCTACGGGAAAACTGGAAACAGAAGAGGATAACTTCCAGGGAAAACAGCCTATTTACCGCCTGTGCAAACATGCATCTAACTGGCCTCCCATGAGAGATCCTGGGGAAGAGCTTTGGTAAAAGAGCAATTGCCAACGTGTGGAGTCAAGCCGCTACGCTCTATGCAGGCCAGAACCACAAGAGATTGTGCTATGTGTCAGAAACCACCACTGTTACAAAGGTGCTTTATTCCAAACCATTTCGTTAAATCAAATCACCACCAGCTAAAGGGTGATGATTGTATAGAACTGTTGTCATAGGATCAGCGTCTTTGGTCCTATTTTCACACCACAGGAGATATTTATCCCTTTACAACATTCTGATCTATGGCTAGTTCTTAATTATATTTGCTGCCAAGAACCCGTTAATGAAGGGATATTTCATGGCCTTTGGCGAAAACCTCAGACTCAGCAACCAAGGAGCTGAAAGCCCTGACCTCAAGGCAATCTCCACACCAGCCTCCTGCCTGATGCATATTTCAGAGGTTTCCAGGTTTTAAAGCATGGATTACCTTTGCAAATGAAAAATTGAACAAGCAGAAGCATTTAGTGGCATGTTATTACCAGAGGTAGAATTTCAAATGAACATAGAAATAATTATCCACTGTTTTTTTCATCATTTTCTGTTTATTCTACTAGGATTTAAAATATAGTATATATCGATCCCTACCTAAGGGTTCTTGCCATTATGACATGCATATATCAATCTACTGAAAAATCACACATATTGATAAAATATTTAATGCTTCAGGAGCATTCGATATTCACCCACCTCCCTAATAGGTTGTTTGTTTGTTTTATCTAAATAGGATCTTGCATAGTAATGCAATTTTAAATTCCAGTCAAAAGGTAGAGTTTTATTCTTTCAGATATTTCAAACTTTTCATTTATGAGAAAAATGATTACAACAGAAAGTTAAAAAAGCAGTGTTATCTTCACCGGTAGATAGCATTCAATCGTTACCTGTCAGGTACGTGGCATTTTACTAGATGCCATTTATCAAAATACTTTGATTGTGCACCTATGATCTACCAGAGACTTCCTCAGATGAGAAGATTATACATCCATAGTCTCTGTTCCATACAGTTCGAATCTAGAAGGAGAAACAGATAGTTACAACATATTATGCTAAATATTATGGAGTACAATACATGCTCGCTGTATTAGATGTATAGATGTATAAATGAATAAATGAATGAATGAGCATGGAAAATTTCAGAGCATAATAAAATCAACATGAAAGGCAGACAATAAATTCATAGTATTCAGGGAGGGCTGGTGGCTCATGCCTGTAATGCCAGCACTTTGGGAGGCCAAGGCAGGCAGATCACCTGTAGTCAGGAGTTCAAAACCAGCCTTGCCAACATGGTGAAACCCCATCTCTACTAAAAATACAAAATTAGCCAGGCATGGTGATGCAGGCCTGAAATCCCAGCTACTTGGGAGGCTGAGGCTGGAGAACACCTGAACCCAGGAGGCAGAGGTTACAGTGAGCTAAGATCACGCCACTGCACTCCAGCCTGAACCCAGGAGGCGGAGGTTACAGTGAGCTAAGATCACGCCACTGCACTCCAGCCTGAACCCAGGAGGCGGAGGTTACAGTGAGCTAAGATCACGCCACTGCACTCCAGCCTGAACCCAGGAGGCGGAGGTTACAGTGAGCTAAGATCACGCCACTGCACTCCAGCCTGAACCCAGGAGGCGGAGGTTATAGTGAGCTAAGATCAAGCCACTGCACTCCAGCCTGGGCGACAAGAGTGAAACTCTGTCTCAAAAAAATGAATAATAATAATAATACAGTATTATAAATACTATAATACTAAAATAAATAATAATTACAGCAATAATAGAGGATGAACTATTTTATTTATTTATTTTTAAAATTTTAGCTCCTACTTAGATGAGAGAACATGAACTATTTCTCCATTTTAAATGGAGAAAGTTTCAGCAGGGGTCTAAAGACTAAAACCTTTTAGATGTAGGATCACAAAAGAAATGAGAATTCCCACATTTGATTTACTGATGATGTGTTGGTATAAAACCACACAAACATGAAGCATATATGATAATAAAGAACTAAACTGTATAATACAGGAAAAATAAGAGGGATGGAAATCAGATTGTTGCACAATGATATTATTACTCAAGCCCTTATTTTGAAATTACATATTCAATTATAGGTTCAATTATTATGACATTCCCATGTTAATTTCTTCATTGTAACTGCAATTAACTACAGTGTAAGTCATTCCAAGTGAAGGTACTGGAAAGTGATATAGGGCAAAATTGGGCCAATTCACTCCTTTTGCACCTTCAAAGTGCAATATAATATCAATTTTCACCAGCAAGGGAACAAAACCCTCATTTGTCACTCCTTCAGAAGAAAGATTTTAAAAATTATACATCAAACAAAACTTTTCAAAGACTAATGGGAAAAGAAAGAAAATGAAGATGAGTTTGTGCCTAAAACTACGGTGGATGCTTGGTCTAAAGAAGTGTATTCCAATTTCATTGTTACCTTGCTATGTGACCTGCATCTTCATTGCCTCCTTAATAAAACAGGAAGATAACCATGCGTGCCTACCTGATGATAATGCATGCTTATCAAGTAAAATTACAGCTTTGAAATGTTTGAAAACATAGTAAAAATATTAAACCCTATATAAGATGTGTTGTACATTTGAATGATAAAGTTCAAATGGGGGGTATTTTTCATCTATAAAGGATGGGATGCCTTTGTTACAGGAAAAGGAAAAGCACATCATAATGTTCAAAATGCTCTAACAATCTATGCCCTAATAGAAATGAAGTACTAAAAATATTCCAATGTTTTCTCTTTTAATAGATGCATCTATGTCTAGTTCCAGGGTGCAGTTAGTTTCACTTTACTCTTTTTTCTCCTTGCTAACCCTTTCATCATATTTTCATAAACACTGTCAGGGCTACTTCTTGACTATTCCTTTAAAATATTATTTCGATTATCAAATCTTATGTGAAAACCTGAAGGAAAAAAACCATAAACCTGTTCTTTCCTCTAACAAAACCTGGCCTGGGTTCTGCCAAGAACATCTAGAAGTCATTAAAAATAGCACAGTTCTTTATTTGGACTCAATTGACTTGTACTTTTGTAGACCTGTCAAAACGTTAAATAATAAATTGTTGTCTCTGAATAGATTCATCTTTGCCCAAGATACAGTCGAAAACATGTTTTAGATGAGTCATTTAACTGGAATAATCTTCCTTCGGATTACTGGAGTCATTGGGGAAAAAAATACAAAATCATGTGAGTAATTTTCCATTTATCTAGGGTTCAATATCTCAAATGTTTCACAGGCCTTCTGCATCACAAGGCAGTGTATTTTAAAATGCAGGCACATCCTCCTTTCTGCTTCTCCATGTCACTTCCTCTTTAGCAGCTGAAGGCAGGCCTATCATCAATGAACAGTGTCAGCCAATGCCCTTGTGCTTCTGTGTCATCACTCTGAGATAGGAACGAGCATATTTGAAAGGCCCAAGGCAGAGAGTGCTTTTCCTCTTCTCCATCATCATTTTAACACCACTACCACCAACAAACAAAAGTTATTAACAACAATCAAAACAGCATGGGCGCAATGCAGACAACCTCTATAGCTACATAGAGCTGCAGCCAAACAGCCACCCACATGTTTGCTGCTGTTGCTGGGGATAAAAGGAAATGTTGCTTTGCTTCAAAGAAGAGGGGAGGGGCTGGGCGCGACGGCTCAGGCCTGTAATCCCAGCACTTTGGGAGGCTGAGGCAGACGGATCGCTTGAGCTCAGGAGTTGGAAACCAGCCTGGGCAACATGGTGAAAGCCCGTCTCCACAAAGAAAAAAAAATTTTTTAATTAGCTGGGCATGATGGCACCACCTGTAATCCCAGCTACTTGTGAGGCAGAGGTGGGAGGATTGCTTGAGCCCGGGAGGTCAAGGCTGCAGTGAGCCATCATCATGTCACTGCACTCCAGCCTGGGTGACACAGTGAAACCATCTAAAAAAAAAAAAATAAAAATGAACTGGGAGGAACAGGTGGAGGCAAAGAAGAGAAAGGGCAGAACACTGTGTTTGACAGGAGTGTTCCAACTGAGAAAATCATTTCTCACCCTCAGTGAGGAGAGGTGAACCACAGAAACAGATAGGAGAGCATGTCGTTCGTGACCTCTGCCAGAAGTTGCAAGGAAATTAAGACACTCATCAGGAGGGCCAGTGCCCTGCATGGAGATCTCAAGATTTGTTTTTTTTTTTTGTTTTTGTTTTGGGTGAAGAAACTATTTCAGATGAGATCAGGTGCATTCAGGATGGTATGGCCGTAGACAAAGGAACTATTTCAAAAGAAATTCGTGGCCAACATTCCTACCATTAGCCTGTCTTGCTATTGTATATTGCATGGCTGTCCTGCTAGGGAAATTTGATCAATATATTAGATTCCTGGCAGAAAGATGCTATCAGACAATGCACGTATGCCCTGACATAGCTCAATTTCCACCTATCCAACAAGGTATTGATTTTTCTCTCCCCGAAGTGCACACACACATACTGAGAGTGCCTACAGAGGATGGGGGTTGGGTAGGCACTTAGTTAAGAACAGACAGCTCTGCCATTCCCCAAATGCGTTCAAAACACCCTCTGGCTTGGTGACTTAATATTTGGATGATCTATATAAACTCCTCACATCAGGATTAAATCAATGGCTGATGAGCAAAAACAATCTTTGCTCACTCTTTAAATGCTAAGAACTCTATCAGCTTCAGAAACATTTCAGAAAATATGGCCCTTCTTGGATTCCTGCTCCAGAGTTACCTCCTATGAAATGCCGTCCTAAAGCCACATCTAACACAACAGAAATTCATTCTCTATTACTTGATCACAGCCTTCTTGCTTAATATTTGGAGGTAAGTCAACACTTCAGTTACCACTCCACCATTTCTTCTCTTGTTTCCACCTGTCTCAAGCTGTCCACAGAACATTTCCAGCTTTTCACCTTCTAGGCTCAGGCTAGGATTATACTTCCTGATCCCTGTGTGGTTGTGCGGGGCCATGTGACCAGTTCTAACCCATGAGTTGTGAGCAGAAGTAATCTGTGTCATTCCTAGATTGAGCTTTTAATGGCCAATAAGAGACCTTCCAGATGTCTCTTCCCTCCAGAAAGGCAACCAGAAATTCTCAAAATAGCCGTTGCTCCATCAGCCTGAGGGGTTGAGTGATTATGAGGACAAAGTTCATATCACCATGTTGAACTGTTTCTAAGGGAAAAAGTTGAAAGGTAAGAAACAAACTAAGAGGAAATGGTATCAAAATATATAACAAAAAGTTAGTAACTACATATAGAGCCTACAAATCAGCAGAAAAGTATGCCTGAGATATAAATAGGTATTCACAGTAGGAGAAATCTAAGTAGTCAATAAATATATTAAAACATACTTAACATCGGTTGTAATTTAGTGAAATGAAAATCACAGTAACAAGTTGCTGTTCTTACCTATGAGATAGACAAAATTTAAAACTTAAAAATCTTAATATGTGTAGTCCCAGCTATTCACGAGGCTGAGGCAGGAGGATTGCTTGAATGCAAGACTCTGAGCTATTATTGTGCCACTGCACTTAAGCCTGGAAAATAAAGCAAGCCCTTGTTTCTGAAAAACAAACAAAAAGCTTAATAATTTCCAGAATTGTCCAAGGTGTGGGAAAATTGACATTTTCATTCCTGCTGGTATAACCTTACTGGAGGGCAATTAACGTGTGTGTGTGTGTGTGTGTGTGTGTGTTCTGAGACAGAGTCTCGCTCTGTCACCCAGGCTAGAGTGCAGTGGCACCATCTCAGCTCACTGCAATCTTCACGTCCTGAGTTCAAGTGATTTTCCCATCTCAGCCTCCCGAGTAGCTGGAACTATAGGCACGTGCCACCATGCCCAGCTAATTTTTGTATTTGTAATAGAGACAGGGTTTCACCACATTTGTCAGGCTGGTCTCGAACTCCTGACCATGTGATCTGCCTGCCTCCGCCTCCCAAAGTTCTGGGATTACGGGGTGAGTCACCACACCTGGCCCAGCAATATTTTTTAAATGTAAATGCCTTGACCTAAACATCTGTTTTTAGTAATCTATAGAAACATTTACATATAATATTAACAATATTTACTGAACACATGCCATGTGTCAATACCCATCTAACTATTTACATTAATCATTTTCCCTGAGAGTTAAGTTCTATTTCTTTCTCATTTTATAGATGAGGAAACAGAGAGGATAAGCAACTTGCTTAAGTTAACTGAAAGTTGCTATGTGGGAATTCAGATAAAGTGTTCTCTTTACACTATAGTGTCTTTCTCAGAGAACTATGCATGGGGGTTGCCATTGCACCATCATTTATAAACAATAAAAATGAATAAAATGTAAATGTTCATCAACTGGAGAAATGGTTACAAATGGTAAATTCGGATTATAGAATATTATGCAGTAATTCAAAAGAATGATCCCAAAAGAATTGAAAACATACAGCCACACAAAAACATGTAGAATGTTCATAGTAGCATTATTCATGATAATCAACTGATGAATGAACCACACAATGTGGTATATACATACAATGGATATCACTGAGGTGTCAAAAGAAGTGAAGTACTGTTTAGTGCTATAATATGGATGGACCTTGAAAATGTTATGTTTAGTAAAAGAAGTTGGACACAAAAGTCCACATATTGCATGATTCCATTTACATGAAACATCCAGAACAGACAAATCTAGACAGACAGAAAGTAGATTAGTGGTTGCCATGGGATTGAATAGATGGAGGGAACTGGGACTGAGGTTGAGGGGTTCAGCTCCCCTGAGAGGATGCTTCTCCAGTTCTTGGTCTCCTGCTGTCTCAAGAATGAGAGAGGGGACCGTGGCGCAGTGCACAGTAGATACCAGACTCAAAAGTGTTTGTAGAAAGTGATTTCTTTAAAGAGAGAGAAACAGGAGGAGAAGAAAGAAACAGCTAACTCTCACACTGAGTGAGAGAATCCAGACAGATGGAATCCAGGAGAAGAAAGCAGCTTCCACACTGAGTGGAAGGGAACAGAGAGAGATGGCGTTTGGGAGGGGAAGGCAGGCTTCCATGAGAGAGTGTGGAAGGGGACTCCAGAGGGGAAATCCAATACAGAGAAAAAAACTTCCACGAAGGGAGTGTTGTGGAAGGGGACCCAAACGTGGAGTCCGAAGGCATGTGGAAGAAGGAGACTTTTAACCTGGGAGAAACCCCCACCTTCTCTAAGACCCCGGGCCAATGAAAGGAGTTCCTTAGAACTTCCACTGGAATGATTGACTCTTAGTTTCTTCCTGTGCCCACGAAATTTAAACATAAACTGTTAAATCTCCCGGATGGAGAGAGATGGGAGGTGGGCATGTCACTAGGAAGTTCTTGCCCTTAAAACTATGCCCCCTTGTGGAGCTGGAAAGAGAACACATTCCCTCCCTAATAGGTACAGGATGTGATGGTTAACTTTATTGCCAACTTGACTAAGTTAAGTGATGCCAAGTTCTCTGGTAGTGTGTTATTTTGGGGTGTGTTTGCAAGGGCATTTCCAGAAGAGAGTAGCATTTGGATCAGGAGAGAGGGAAGAGGATCTGCATTCATCAATATGGGTGGGCAACATCCAATCCATTGAGAGCCCAGATAGACCAAAAAGAGTAAGGGTGAATTCTCTCTCCACCTCTGAGTTGGGACATCTATCTTCTCCCATCCTTAGACACTGGAGTTCCTGGTTCTTGGACTTTTTTTTTTTTTTTTTTTTGACACGGACTTTCTCTGTTGTTACCCAGACTGGAGTGCAATGGCACAATCTTAGCTCACCGCAACCTCCACCTCCTGGGTTCAAGCAATTCTCCTGCCTCAGCCTCCTGAGTACCTGGGACTACAGGCGCACACCACCATGCCCAGCTAATTTTTGTATTTTTAGTAGAGACGGGGGTTTCACCTTGTTGACCAGGATGGTCTCCATCTCTTGACCTCATGATCCACCTGCCTCGGCCTCCCAAAGTGCTGGGATCATAGGCGTGAGCCACTGTGCCCGGCCTAGACTCTGGGACTTACACTAGCAACACCTCTCCAACCCTTCCCTGGTTTTCAAGTGCTTTGGCCTCACACTAAATTATGTTACTGGCCTTCCTGGTTCTCTAACTTTCAGATGACATATGTTAGGACTTCTTGGCCTCTATGATTGCATGAGCCAACTCTCATTATAAATTTCCTTTTATGCATATCTATGTATATTTAGGCACATCTG